AATCTTCTCTTTCCAAATGTAGGTATTCTTGAGCCCTATCGATCGCCATTGATTAAAATTTAATTCATCGATTAGTTTTTTTAATTTTTTAATTTTTCCGAAAATCGGTTGTCTCCTGGTAAGTAAAAAAATGTTCTGAATTGATTGAATGATGGCTTCAAAAATTCGTTTGGATGTTCCTTTGACCGAGTTCGAAGATGGTGGCGATAGCAATAATCAATATTTTGATTTATTCGAAATTTTTTGAAAAATTTGTATTTCTTTGAAAATTAGAAGTCCGGGGATATCTTTGAAATCATGCTTCGAATGAATTGAATCATAGTTTAAAATTTTTGTTTTACTGCCATTAAGTCACAGTTAAAAGATGATTACGATAACTACATTGGTTGATTTGATTTTTATGATGATTGTTGAAAATTTTGAATTTATCATGAATTCCCCCGAAAGTGAGCTTTCTGATGGTTTCTTCCGATGTGATGTTTCAAATTCATTCAAATATGTGTAAATAAAATTTTTCTATTAACATTTTATCAAAGGGCTGAGGCGAGCGCTGGCGGAAGAGATAGAACTGTAAAAAAGGCAATCAGTTATATAGAAGTAAAGGGATAATAAGAATAATGATGCTGATAACATTCAAGTAAGTTGAAATTCTGACGAAATTAGATGAAGGCAATCTTATCCAATTTAATGACATTAAATAAACAATGAATTATAAATGATAGAAGGAAATGATGTGCAAAATAACCATTCTGAAGCATATTGCTAATTTATTTGCAAAAATAACTATACTATACACCATACAAGAGCAATTTCACTTGTTTTTTATTGATTATTGACATTAAACTAAATATTTAGCTGAATGTAATTATGTATTTTGTGGAAACAGATAAATTTGTAAGAAAATGTAAAAAAAATGATCAGTCGCAAAATAATCACAAGCGTGCTCATGACTCACGAATTATTATATTTAATTATACTTCACAAATTAACAAGTAAAATTACATTCTTAAATTATCGGTATTCAAGACTGCAATCTGAACTGTAACACTGAAAAGCTGCATAGTCAACAAAAAAATCCCCCCCCCCCCTTTTTTTGCACTTTAAAAAGAATACACGATACTTTACATGAAGATTAAACTTATAGATACAGCTCGAGCAACTTCGTTTTCACGTGTTCTAGAAAAGATGACGCAACACGAAGATAACATTTATTGACGAAAATATAATCAGCAACACGTGTTATTCATTCATTAATCCTCTTCAAGTGGGACAGAAAAACCACACATTTGAATAATGTGAAACCCCACGTTCACTTGAAGTAACAAATGATATTGAATGAAAAAAATCGTTATACAACAAAGAAAGAACAGGAAAATTACTTTCATGCGTGGAGTAGAAATAGTCGAGAAAACAATAGAATGGAGTTGAGCAATTGTAGGGGAACACTCGTTTGATCCATTCGAAACTTAGGGAAACAGGATAGCAGCTGCGGTAATTGTCTATATACTCGTGAATGACTATCGATAATGAGATTCGGAAAAACGGGGGATTGGGAAGAATAAGGAACTATAGTATTCGTGGACACTGCCACACATGTCTCGAAAATGAGTGATTTTTTGAGAAAATGTATTCGCTTGCGTAGTGATTTCGCATTCCCGAACCAACAACCACGAGTCCTACATGCAGACTTTTTCTCCTGAAATCGTGAAATTTTTGAAATACGAAATATTTCATACCTTTATTACTAAATAATTGATAGTAATAAACTCTCATTGACTTCCAACCGATTAGAATCGATCGAATAAACAGCTAATAAACGCAATGGCCATTCATTGGAGTACCTATATCATAATTTGCGCCAGTGAATGACCAAAGTAAAAAGTACAGCGCGAATGTAATTAAAAAATTTACAGATTCGAGGAGTTAAAAGATTGCGAGAAATATCTGTTGTATTGAAAAACCACTGAAATAATTCACATCGGTGTATTAACCTCATTATTGTGTTATTTGCTACCCATCAACAATCTTTTAGGATTCTGCACACTATAGATTCAACCATTTTCAATCATCAAATTTATCAATTAAATTGCGTGGGAAGAAATTTAAAAAAATCATGAATGTTCAGGGTAATTAAAATTACATTTTGCACAGAATTTTTTGTTTAAATTCGTTGTTTATGCATAAATAATTGAAATTGTTTATACTTTCGGATACCTTATTTTCTGAATAAATTTGTTACGATTTATTTTTACAACAAACAAATTATTTTTATGATGGAAAATTGATTGTTGATAGATTATTTATAGGAAATCAAATTCAAAAATTGCAGTTTTTTAATTATTTCATCAATTTTCCTCCAAAAGTAAACTTTCTCATTTTTTTCAGATTTAAAGAATGTTTTCTAACGGTTTAGTATCGAAATTCAAATTCAGACCTGCAATGTTTAAATAGGAAAATTGTCACAAAATGTCCGGAAATATAGGGTCAAATCGGGCTGAAATGAAAGCTCTGCTGTTCGACTACGAAAGTAGAGAAGCATTTCAGTGAAGAAAAAATGGCCAAAGCACTTGGATATCCTTAATGCTCATTAATTTATTCACATTTACTTGTCACACTGGTAGAAAAAAATGAAATTTCATGACTAGTTGACTATTAATTTTCAGGACAGTGAAACTGAATGCCATTTAGGGGGAAAAAATCATGAAATTTCAGGTCTCACTGAAAATTCAGTAAAATTCCAGAATTTTAAGCAGCATAAAGATGAGAATTCCGTAATTTATTTGAATTTTCAATCTAATATGAATATTCTATGCCCAATTACATTAAATTTTCTATAGTAATACCACTAGTGCTTCAAAATTATCGGATATTTTCCTCAAGCTTCCCTGCCTAGAAAGGAGTGTGTCAAATTTTGCAGAAAAATCCCTCGTTCTTCGCACTCGGGATTTTAAATCTGCAAAATTTGACACACTTATTTCTAGGCAGGGAAGCTTGAGGAAAATATCCGATTAATTTTGAAGCACGAGTGGTATTTGACGAATTATTTTTCCACTCAGATTTCGGTCAAGCAGAGTGCAGTGAATAGCATCCGGATACATTTACTCAGCCATACATTTACAACCCACTTTTTTGTTTATCTGTCACACAGAATATTAAACGCGAAATGCGTTGAAAGATGAGAAACATTTGAAAAGCTACTAGTGTGAATTTCCGTCGGAAATTTTTTAGAAATTTCCGAAATAAAAGTGTTTGACAGTCTCAAATACTGCGCTCTGAGTGGCTGAAATCCGAGTGAGAAAAATAATCAGTGAAATCTGAAATTTAATTATTTTTTTCCTGCTAAATCGCATTCAATGTTACTGTTCTGGAAATTCAAGAATATATTTACCGGAATTTTCTAGTGTTCTATTCATTTTTAGGGAAAAATGAGATTGAAATTTACAGTTCTCTTTGATTTTTCCACGAAACTCTGAATTTTCAACAACGACATTTCATGAAATTTCAGTGGTAATGAAATTCGATCAAAATTTCCGAAAAGTGTACCGGTAATTTCAGGCAAAAATTGTCAATAGTGCACTATTGGTTGACCAATTTTATTCTCAAGATACGTCTCCCTATTTTCTCTATTCTGGCCTCCCACTGATAACCCAATCGGATAGAAAGAATCTCCAACGACAACACATAGTCAACTCGTCACTTAATGCGTCCAGAGAAAAAACAATGTTTGCCGACTAATTGTCGACAACGTCGCACGACGCAAAACTCTTTGACTGTTTTATTCACGGGTCACGGAGGAGGCATTCATTCACCCTTCTCTCTAACATCGCTGACGCTAGTGATACGGCAGAACTCGATGTTCCCTCGTTATTTGATCCGCCGGTAGTAAACATAACACTGGAAATTTTCATTGTTAATTTATCACATGGAAGAAAGTTCTTCAATCCATTCAACTCAGTTCTTTTCACTCAATCCCTCTGTTCGGAATAATCCCTTAACAGCTGTATTTACCAGAGACTGTAATTTTGCAATTCATTGGGTCTTGCCTCGGGCCACAGAGATCTCCATATACGACATAATCATAAATCTATCATCAATAAATCATCCGACTTGTTTTTCTAAAATCATGGATTACGTGTTATTGAGCTTAATGTCTTATTTTTACCGGACATTACTGTGGGGAATTATAAAGATGGTTAATTGAACAAAGACCACGTGAAGTTCGAAGAATACTGTAATTCAATTCGTACATTAAAATGGACAACTTTAAATGACTCAATTCCTTTTAACAATGGAATCATTCTTTACCAAATTATTCTTCTTTGTCAACACATTAAATTTACGAAATTCCATATTCAATTTTCATTTAATTATCCTGCAGCTCAATGTGTGCGGCTCGTATAAAAAAATATAATTTCGAATTACTCAGTTTATTTGAATTATCAACTTGAACAAAATTATTCGTTCAATTTCGTAATTTTCCATTTGTTTATATAATTTGTTTTCAACTTTTTCTTGTAATCTAATCGCAAATCTAATCTATTGACGTTGCATGAAAAAATTATTGCAATTGCAATTCAAAAAATGTATAAAACTCGTTTAGGCAATTAAAACCAATTATTTCTTCTTCGATATATTTATCATCCGTCATGAATGATATCACTCTGCAGCACATTGAAATGAACCGGGAAACCTCTCATCAATTTGCATTCCCGATGTTACATCCAACAAAACAGTGGAAAATACGGAGATGATGTCAAGGATTCCAGCCTCTGAATCATCCAAAATCTTTACAATGAAATTAAATCAACATCTGCCCGTTAAAATCGAAGGAAAAAACCTCCTAAAAACCCTTACCCACATGTCACACTCCCATAAGTACCCTCTAAATGACGTCATAATGAAATGCCTTCGTCCAATGCAACTGTTGGACTTGTCGATTCTTCGTAACATGAGACAAGAAAATTATCCTTTACTTATAGGTACTTAAATATTCCACTCACCTTCGTTACCACCGGAATCACGAGTGTCCCCCCGGTGACGTTCAACCTGTCACCGCTGTGCACGTAGCCACGTGACTCATCCAAAATACTAGCAAGTGTAGAAAAGATGATAATTTCACCAGCGCACACAGAGGGAAATTATTTAAATAAATGGAAAAATGCACACACACAAACACTATTCACGGCATAAAAACGGAAGTGGAGTTCCCCACCTTCCCACGATTACACTTCTATACAATTACTTGAGAATGTGACGATATACATGTACGTTTACAGTACCGGAGAGGACAAAGCTGAAAAAAAAGTTTTGGATAATGCGGAGCGAGCGTCGGTTTCGTTGATAAAAAGAATAGATAAATCGAGAGTAAGTTAAAAATTCTTGAGTGTACGGTAGGCCCGTCACTTGCTTCCGTCACATTGGAATTACCAATAATGCATTCATTTGTTTAATGTCATTGATCATCAATTACTTGATGAACGTACTAGTAAACACTGTAGGAATGTCTAGAGTGCAAAAGTAAACACTGAAAAGACGGGAAAAACTACGAAACCAATAATTTTCGTGGAGAATCGCTGGTAGATTGCGTAACACGTCTATATAACGCGACTGCCGAAGCAACACTGACGGGCCAGTGGGAATAACGTGCCGGCTGCGAGGGCGCGCACGTTGCATGTGTGGCTGGATAGTGTGTGTTGAGGACACGCAGCAGCAGCGCATATAACCAGCATAGCAGGCACCGCTGGCGACGGCGAGGTATAGTAGCCTGGTGCAGGAGTATTCGATGGTATGATGGGGCTACTACCTACCGCATAACGTCTCACTGATACATCAGAGGTTTGTGTGAATACGCGTGCCTTTGGCGTATGGGGGCCTATATCCTTACTGTTGAATTGCAGTGGTGAGTTTTTTTTTCAGGTGGGGGGAAATTCGGTTTCCAGCATTTTTTTTCGGGGGGAGAAGGGCAGGACTTGCATTTTCGGATGTGCTGGGTTGAGGGAATTTGAATATGTTGATGATGTTATTTTTTCGCGTTCGATCTTTCAAACATTTGTGTCTAGATATGTGGAATCACGGGAATTTTCATAATGTTTTTACTTGAGGGATTTGATAAGGTGTTCCAATTACTTCTTGGGAGTTTGTGAAAATAATTTACTCACTGCATTTACACACCATTCAATCCACACAGTTATTGCTATTTTTACTGAATTTTTATTTGCATTTACTTGAAGCGTTCTATGATATCTCATCTCCAGCATAGGATATTTGTCTTGTATGTTTCGACACGTTCATCTCATGAATGGTTGATGAATTCGAGAATTTCTCGGGAAGTTGAAGTTTTATGTAAAAAATATTGAATATTCAAAAATGTACATAGCAAGCGTTCATTCAAAATTGAATTGTGAACTTCCTGAATTAAATATAGAAATCGACTCATACATATAGCGGCATTTAGGTAAGGTCATCGCCTGGTATACAGACAACCAGCATTCAAAGCCCGCAGAGACCACCGATTTTTTTGCTGAAATTTTATTGGTATCACAAGAAGGATTCAGGGCGCCGTGACGTGACTTATGCAACACTTGTATAACTCTATTTCAGGAGGAGAAGGATAGGACTTCAATGTTCGGGTGTTGTGGGTTGAGGGAATTTGAAGATGTTAATGATGTAATTTTTTTGAATTCGATCTTTCGAAAATTTGCGTCTAAATATATCAACTCACGGCATTTTGTGTAATGTTTTCACAGGGGTTTGATAAGGTGTTCCAATTACTTCTTGGTAGGTTGAGAAAATATCTTACTCAATGAATTTGCACACCAGTCAATCCACACGGTTATTGCTAGTTTTACTGAATTTTTATTTCTTGCCTTCAAGCGTTCTATGATATCTTAGCATTAGAATATTTGTCTCGTATGTTTCGGCACGTTCATCATGAATGGTTGGTGAATTCTACAATCTCCCGGGAAGTTTTTTTTTTTTTTTTTACGGCCTCGGAGTCCCTTTTTCGGGTCCCATTGGGCACTCTATCCAATCCTATGCATGCGGCTGTGGATTCTACACTGTACCGCATTCGCACTTCTATAGAACATAGAAGTAGCATGGGGAAACCACAGAAAACCCATGCCGGTACAGGCGGTCACTATATTAGCGACCTCCCGCTCGCCGGAGCCTTCCGTTGAAAAATTCGGTTCCACGGGGAATCGAACTCACAACCTTTCGCACACTAGACTTGCGTCTAATCCACTCGGTCACCGACGTCGGTTCTCCCGGGAAGTTGAAATTTTATGTAAAAAATATTGAATATTCAAAAATATACATACACTGTTAAAAATTTGCGTCTGAATTTTCCATGCCAAATTCCGGAAATTTTTATTGTTCAAGTTCCACTGAAATTTCAGGAAATAATGTCATTGAAAATTCAGAATTTCGTGAAAAAATTAAACAGAACTGTAAATTTCCGTTCCATTTTTCTCTAAAAATGAATAGAAAACCAGAACCTTCTGGTAAATATATTCTTGAATTTTCAGGAGAGTGACACTGAATGAGATTTAGGGGGAATAAATCATGAAATTTCAGATTTCACTGAAAATTCCATGTAATTTGACGCTGATTATTTTTCCAACCCAAATATCGGGCAATATAATTGGCCCATTCGACATCACGTGGTACAAGCTACAGGGTTTTCAACTGATAATTTTTTGATAATTTTCTCTGGTAGTTGCTATATAAAAAACAAAACATCATGCAGTCGAATTAACCCCTCGTCAAACTGACAGATTGAATTCAATTGTGTCGTTGTGTTAATTATACAATTTTCGTTTCTCAATTGTGAGTTTCGTCTCATGGTCCAATTATATTGCCCGACATTTGGATTGGAAAAATAATCCCCCGAATACCACACGAGCTTCAAAATTAATCGGGCATTTTCCTCAAGATTCCCTGCATACAAACGAACCTATCGGAAAATACCCGATAATTTTGAAGCTCTTGTGGTATTACAAGTGAATATTCATATTAGATTGGAAATTTATATATATTGAGGAATTCTCGTCTTTATGCCGTTTAAAATTCTGAAATTTTACTGAATTTTCAGTGAAACCTCAAATTTTGTTATTTTTTCCTCCCTAAATCGCATTTAGTGTCACTGTCCTGAAAATTGACAGTCAACTGTCCATGAAATTTCCCTTTTTTTTCTAACAGTGTAGCAAGCGTTCATTCAAAATTGAATTGCGAATTTTCTAAATTGAATATAGGAATCGACTCTCACATATATCGGTATTTGGGTAAGGTCATCGCCTGGTACACAGACAACCAGCATTCAAAGCCCGCAGAGACCGCCGATTTTTTTGCTGAAATTTTATTGGTATCAGAAGAAGGATTCAGGACGCCGTGACGTGACTTATGCAACACTTGTATAACTCTATTTCAAGAGGAGACTGGTAGGACTTGAATTTTTGGGTGTGCTGGTTAGAGGGAACTTTAATATGTTAACAATGTTATTGTATCGTATTCGATCTTTCAAAAATTTATGTCTCAATATGTCCAATCACGGCATTTTTCATAATGTTTTCACTTGAGGGATTTGATAAAGTTTTCCAATTACTTCTTCAGAGGTTCAGAAAATGATTTACTCATTAAATTTACACACCATTCAATCCATATGGTTTTGCTATTTTTACTAAATTTTTATTTGCATTGACATGAAGCGTACTATGATATCTTATCTTAGCAGAAAATATTTGTCTTGTATGGTTCGACACATTTATACTGAATGATTGGTGAATTTCAGAATCTCCCAGGAACTTGAAGTTTTACATAAAAATATGGAATGTTCAAAAATATACAGAGGCAGCGTTCATTCAAAATTGAATTGTGAACTTTCTGAATGGATTATAGGAATCGCTTACATCTAGGGGCATTTGGATAAGGTCATCGCCCGGTACACAGGCAACCAGAATTCAAAACCCGCAGAGACTGCCGATTTTTTTGCTGAAATTTTATTGCCATCACAAGAAGAATCCAGAGCGCCATCACGTGACTTATTGCAACATTTGTATAATTCTATTTCAGGAGGAGAAGGGTACCCAAGTAGAAATTCATAGTCGATTTACTATCGCCCCAGATGTTTCTGGGCGACATTACGTGTCGGAGCGACGAACGTCTGGGCGAGCACGCCCCATAGGTATTGTGGGCTCCCCACGTACGAAATGCCAGTGTTGGAGAAACGGGCCAAGCCTGGCACAAGCCTGGGCTTGCCAAGCCTGGGCGCCCAGGCTTGGACCGAGGTTCGGCCATCCCTGGGGACCAGGGCTTGAGTCTCGGGAGAAGGGCAGGTAACCGAGCCTTGGTTGACAGATCTGGCCCAGCCTTGGCCGGACACTGGCATGCCGGAGCTCGATAACCAAGCCTCAGCCAGCGGTGGCCCGGAGCTTGGTCATTGGGCTCCAGCCGTTGGTGTAACTGTAAGGGTTAAGTCGTAAGGGTGAGATGATGAGAATGGAATCATAGGGGTGGAATCATAAGGGTAAAATCTGAAGAGTAAAATTGTAAGGGTCAAATCGCAATAATGGAAAGGGGCGAAAAAATCATAAG